CATTTCCCTTTTGTTAGCTTCCCTTATTTCCCTGTGATGCTTCTGCCCACTGGTTCACAAACACCAGCTCAGCATTCACAATCCTGACGCTGCCTCTAATACCAAATAATAGAAAACTTTCCCCAATTTGTAGGAAAAAAAGTTATTAGATTGTGTGTGTGTGTGTGTGTTTCTCCTCTAAATTTTTCTTAAAATGTGACCACCCCAACGATGGAGTTTAATATGGCATCTGATTTAGTACAAGATTTGTTTTCAGTTTTCTTATCAATGTTCCTTAGAACTTAAACAGCACTACTGACCCAATCTAAACATACAGGATAAGCAGATTATCTCTGTGCCTCCCAAAAGATACTGGAAACAATTGAAATGCAAGTTGTGTTATTATTTAAGTAAAACATCAACCACACACATGGAACTCAGATACATACCTGGTTAAATCCAAAAAGATAAGATCTATGAGTCTGCTGAAAGTTGTAACTTGAATCGTGGGCAAGAAATTAAAGCCAAATTCCAAAAATTCTGTTGTGTTTGGTAGAGTGTCAGGAATTCCTCTGAGACCTAAATTTTCACAGTTATAGGTTTTGTTGGCTTCTTTCTGATGAGAGAAACAATGTAAATTAATATCAGTCTCCATAATTTGATTGACTAGCAAAATTACATATATACGAGATCAGACAATTAAGTTTGCTAACTCATCCTAGAAAAAATGCTATATACCTAATTGTTGAATATCACTATGGTCACCTTCAAAGTACTCCCCTTGGGAAGCTATGCACTGATGCCAGCACCTTGTTTACCCTTCAAAGCAATTTTGGAACTCTTTTCCTGGAATGGCCATCAGAGCTGTCGTTGTATTACCCTTGATGTTCTGAATGTCATCAAAATGACTTCCTTTCAATATTTCCTTTATGTTTGAGTAAAGGAAGAAGTCATTGGGGGCCAGATTAGGTGAGTAGGGAGGGTGTTCCAATACAGTTCTTTGTTTACTGGCTAAAAACTCCCGCACAGACAGTGCCGTGTGAGCTGGTGCATTGTTGTGATGCAAGAGCCATGAATTATTGGCGAAAAGTTCAGGTCGTTTAATTTTTTCACGCATCCTTTTCAGCACTTCCAAATAGTAAACTTGGTTAACTATTTGTCCAGTTGGTACAAATTCATAATGAATAACCCCTCTGATGTCAAAAAAGTTTAGCAACATTGTTGCAACAAGTTTGGAAACTTAAAACTTGTATGTTATCTTTTGAGCAGCAATCCCACTTCTAGGAGTCTTTACCAAATATGTACTTGCAAAAACACAAAATGACTTATGCATAAGGTTATTTATTGTAGCACTTCTTGTATTAGCAAACTATTGACAATAACCAAATTATCCATCATTATAGGATTAGTTTAACAAAATACGGTACATTCACAAAATGGAATCTTTACCAGCTAAAAACAAAATCAGTAAGATGTCCACACACTGATATGGGGTGATATCCAGGTATACTGCGCAGTGAACAAAGAAAGACGCCAAATGTACATATACAGTGTATATAGTAAATGGTATGTAGTAAATAGTATATTGTAGGCTACCTTTTCATTAAGAAAGTATGTGTGCATTTTCTTATATTTGCAAAAAGAAACCATGAAAAAAAACAAACCCTAAACTGGTTTTCTTGAAGGGGAGGGAAGGAGCCAGACAGAGGAGCAGGAATAGAAACAAGACTTCCCTGAATATATTTTGTTTTATAGTTTTGATTTTGGATGCATGGCAATGTTTTATTTCAGTTTGAAAGCAAATCAACTCTAGATTAGCATCAACAAAATTAGGCAATCAGACATTACATACTTCCTGATGTGATACAATATTTAAGTATACAGTACTATCTATGAGATATTCTTGTTCCCCCTGCAAAAAAGAAAAAAAAATTAAAACTTGAATCCAATCAAGACTTTAGGCCTAACTTCCAGTCTGCAAGTGATGTGGGGGATTTAAGTTAAACAGCTCCACGAGGTAGCAATCAGCCAAATGCAGAAGATGGGATAGTCTATAGAACAACTGACTGTTTTATCATCATGTGAATGGTGTGGGTGGAATTGGATGGAATTGGAGAGAGTAATGGAAAGAGAGAGGAGACTGCTCTTGTAGGAAGAGAGATATAAAAGCTACTTTTCAAGTTGCAAATCTTGGACTAACTAGGTAAAAATAGGAAAAAGTTGGTTAGAAGTTTATAGAATTGTGGGGTCATAATTTATGTGGCTGATGCCTTAGGATGAAGGGTAGTGGGGCAGGTATGAAGGTCTGATGGGGTCTATTTTGTAGGTAGAGGCTACTAGGAAAGAAAGAAAGAGTCTCCAAGAAAAGCTCACTGGGGTGCCATCTCTCAGATCATCTCAGGCTCCATGTGATTTCATCCAACCTTTCAGATCCTGACAGTTCCTTGACCGCACAGTGGTCTCACTAGAAGCTCCACTGAGGCTGCCCTGGTCTGGAAAAGACCAGCTTCATCAAACTCTAGATAGAAGCTTTCCTTATCTGCGTTGCCAACAGGCCTGCTGAGCTAGAAACAGGAGACTGCGCACAGCCTCCTTCACTCTGAAGCATGATGTTTTAAAGATGTCACCATTGTAATTGCTTTTTGCCTTACTCCCTCCGCCGCCTGCCTAGTGGCTCACTCTTTTGTCGTTGGAGTGAGCATGCTCATCTACAGGAAATCACTGGTTTTCCTCTATAGTGTGACAACATTACAAATATCACTGATGAAAATGTCATATTTATGTTTCTTTGTAATTCGTTTTTCGTTTTATGGACACACAGTCTTCCAGGCGCTGCCACAAATCCCCCTAATGTCCTTGAAATGCACATTTTGCATTTAAAACTCAGATTTAGCTCACTGGCAAGGAAAAACACATGTTGGTAGACCCCTTTTTGGTGCCCATGAACATGGACGACCCAGAGAGACGGTGTATGTACAGCTGCTGCCCCAATAGCTGCTAAGGGTTCAGATTAGCTTTGAGAGGACGTTTTTCTATTCTGGTCTCCACTGGCATAACTTGGAGAAAGGGGCCTTTTCTGAATTCGTCTTGCTCTATTTTGGCCCCACAGCAAAAGGCTGCACGTTGGCAGTTCCCTCATCTTGAATATGTAAGTACCCATGACACCTAAATTATTCCTCTTTTGTTTTACTAAGCACTTTACTGCATTAATGTGATTCAGAAAGTTGAGAATCCAGCAGGAGCTCTATTGAGCCAGTGGCCTGAGGGAGCTCCCAGTGAAAGGAAAGGCAGGTAAATGAAGTAGCTCAACCTTCATTTTGCTCAGTGAGAAAGCAAGGGCCAGTGGATTTAACACTACCGAGAGGTACTGAGAAGCCACCAAAGCCTGTGTCATAACCTTCTTCTGTAGTTGTGGAGAAGCTGCAGTGAAGTCTCTGCCCTTGATTCCTGAGAGAAAGAGGCACATGACAAACATTGTTGCTTATGAGAGAATTTAAAAAGCAAACACATTTCAGAGAATGTGCTGGGCTCCGCACACACGCGGCCTCTCCCTTAGGATTTCACATTCACACTCCTGTACAGTCAAAATTACCATTGCAGATATTACAGATGGTGATGCCCAAACTCCTCATGCTCTCAAATCATTTAAGCATCACTGAATTGTTTTCAGTCTATTGTATTTTTTAAGGCAGGAAATAGATGCGTGCGCGTGCGTGTGCGCATGCGCACACACATTATTTTTCTCATTCTTTTTTTGAGAGTAAATTGCAGATGTCATGACCCTTCTCCCCAAATCTCTTAAGAAAAAAAGATATTCTCTTATACAACCACAGTGCCATTACCAAAAATTCTGATTATTTAACATTGATGCAAAATTATTATTAAATAGTTTATTTTCAAATTTTACCAATTGTCTCGATATTTTCTATTATAATAATTTTTGTTCTTCTAATCCAGGATCACACATTACATTTATTTTTCATGTCTCTTTGGTCTCCTTGAACTGGAGACAATTCCTCCAGCCTTTCATTGTCTCTCATGGCGTTGATGGTTTTGTTTTTTGGGTTTTTGTTTTTTTTTATGAATACAGGGTTATAGTTGACAGGATGTCCCTCATTTGGGTTTCCTTCTTTTTCTCTCTTTTTTTTTTTTTATCTGTCCTCATGGCTTGATTCAGGTTACACATTTTGGGCAGAAATACTATGTCAGTGAGGTTGTGTCTTTCTCTCTGTCAGTATTCACATCATTTTTTGAGAGTGAGTCCTGATAGTATAGCACAGGATTTCAGGACAGCAGAATGACAGTGTAACAGAAAAGAAAAGCACAGGGTGCAGAAAAGGAATACAGTATGACTGTTGCCACTGTGCCCAGGGCTGGGCTGGCTGGCAGGGCCACGTGCTCAGTTGCTTTTCCAGGCAGACACCCACCACTGCTTTCGTAGCCCAGGTGGTTTCTCTGAGCTCCATATGACCACTTCCTATAAACCCAGCCTTCATTATTTAGACCTCTGTATGGGGTGAATTTCCAAAGCCACTTTCTCACTCTTTTGCTTTGGCTGGTTCCATCGCAGACAGCACCCTTCTGCGCGTGAACTCATGAAACCAGCAGGGTGGTGCAAGGCTACATGGCATTCAGGACGACTGCTCCTTGCCCACCCCCATCCCTAGTCATGGGACATTAATCGAGAGACGCTGTGTGCTTGGGCCTGCACCAACCTCTGGTCTCATGTCAGAGCTGTGCCTTTTACACAGAGCAGGACTCCCAAGTGTCACATCTGTGTTTGCAATCCCTTTTCCCTACAGATAGTCATTTGCATTTTTTCAATCAGGATCTTACTTTGCTTCTTTCTGCTGTATCTCTAACTCCCTGCTGTCCCACTGTATTTTCTCTTCTTGCAAGTGTTGAAATCATTTTCTAATTTAGAATCCTTTGAGTTTCACTCTAGTGGTGATTCCCACCTTTTCGGATGTCTCATCTGCACTTGGCACATGTAGCAGCCAGCTCCCCATGCACAAGAAGCCTGGGACGCTGAACCCCAACCACCCAAGTCCCCCCCGCCCCCTTGTTAGTCATGCCTCAATCCAGAGATAGCAATCTGACTGAGCCAAGTCCCAGAGTAACAGTTCCTCTCAGCAAATAAAACAAAACATTCCCAAGAGGGCACAGTCCGAAAACTTCGTTGTCAATCTGATTCCTTCAGACAAAGGGCATTCCAATTACGTGCAGTTCATTTTCTGTTTGTCTCCAGTCAGACTGCGTGGGTTCACATCCCAGCTCTCAACCACCAAGCTGTGTTCTCTGAGTTTCCTTTTTCTCCAACTGTAGGTGGAAGACAATAACCCCTCTTTGCAGGCCAATTCTGAGGATTAATTGGATAATGTATTATATGTCAAGCACTCCCAAGAGGAGTTAGTATTTCACTGAATCATCACAGCATCATGTCACTATCTAGAGCTGTTGGAAAGCCCTTGTATCCATAAGCTTAGAGTTCTCCTAAAAAAAAAAAAAAAAAAAAGCTCTACTAAGCACCTGTCCTTCCCCCATACCTAGACTGAAGGACTGTCTCCTATGGAACACTGAATTCCAGCTATGCTTGGCATATATGTCAGCCTCCAAAGACTTGGTCGTGGGTCTGATTTTGTTACTTATGATACATACACACACACACACACACACACACACACACACACACACACACAAACACACACCCCACACGGGGGCGGGGGGGAAGAGAGAGAGAAAAAGAACATGAAGCATTTAATAAGAAAGATTCTACATGGAGTGTTTATTGTATTATTTTTAGAAATTGTCTAGGTTTTGATTTTTTTTTCAAACAAAAAGTTTTATTAAAAAATTCATCTCGACTCCTACCTCACTTCATATGCAAAAAGTAATTCCAGGTGGGCTATAGATCTAAATGTGAAACCTAGAATTAGAAATAAATACAAAACAATAGAGCTTCCAGAAGAAAACGTGGGATAATATCTTTATGGTTTCAGGGTAGGCAAAAATTTCTTAAACAGGACAGAAATATACTAAAGGTAAGGGAGCAATGATAAATCAAGTCATACTGAAATTAAGGACTTCTGTTCATCAAAAGATGTCCTTAGGAGAGTGGAAAGGCCAGCCACAGAGTGGGAGAAAATATTTGTAATATGATTAAGGATGTGTAGCCACAGTATATAAAGAACTCTTGCAAATCAATAATAATAATTAAAAAAAAAAGACAGACACCCAAAATAAACTGGGCAAAAGACTTGAAAAGACACTTCATACTCACACACACACACATACACACACATGGATATGCACATGGCCAACAAAAGTATGAAAATGCATTCAATTTAATTACCCATCAGGAAAACAAAAATTAAATCCCAGTGAAATACCACAATACCGCTCGCTACCCATCCATCGAACGGGTGTTTATAACAATAGTGAATGTTAGTGAGGCTGTGGCGCATTCAGAGCTCATATACATCGCTGATGAGTATAAATGTTTCTAGAGCTGTTTCCAGAGATGGTGGGAGCCAACACTTGGGAAACTCTTTGGCGATGTCTGCTACAGTGAAACACGTGCATGCTCTATGACCAAATGCACCCACTCCCTGCTATACACCCAATAAGGATTTGTACTTTTGCTTGCTGAAGACATAGACAAGAATTCCAAAGCAACAACACTCAGAACAAGGCCAAAATTTGAAAATGATGCAAATGTCCATTAACAATAGCATGAATAAATAAATGGTGGCTTGCTATTCACAATACCACTCAGTGATGAACATGAACAAGGGATTGTTTCACAGACCATCATCAATAAATCTCATATATTTAATGTTGAGTGAAAGAAGTCAGGCATAAAAGAGTACAGGCTGTATGGTCTCGTGTACATAAGATTCACAAAGAGGAAAACCCATCTATGGCAATAGTGGACTGGATGTCCTTGTGGGCTCGCGACTGGGCAGAGGTGTGAGGGGGCTGCTGAGGTGCTGAGAACTTTCTGTTTCCCAACCTGTGTGCTGGTCATATGCATGTTCACTTAGTGAAAAGTCAATGAACTGTACACGTAGGATTGGTGAATTTTTCTGCATGTAGGTTTTACTTCAATAAAAAGTTTTCTAAACTCAAAACGAAGCAAAACAAAACAAAAACCTTGCTTTTAGGATAGGGCCTGATAAGCTGATGGTGGTCATGTGAACATATTTACAGTATGTGGTGAGTTATGCTTATGTGGGAGGGGAAGAGCTAAAGAGGAAAGGAAAGCAAGGGGGAGGGGTGGGAAACCTGGGGTCATTTGCACTTGAAAAAGGACAAAACCCTAAGTCAAATCTCCCCCTGCCACCACTCCCACCTTTATCCCACTTGCCTGCAGCTTAGAAGTTCCTTACCTTCTGGAACAAGCTCTCATCCATCTTGGTATTTCCCAGCAACCTCCCCAGTACTCAGGTAAAGGAAAGCCTCAATACATAGTCTTAGTTAGAATTCTGCTGCCAAGAGCTCATACATGATAGAGGAGGCCAAGGGAAACACAGAACCCATGTTAATCAAGTAGGTCCCAGGGCATTGAAAATCAGAGTACATTCAGAGGAAGGGCTGCAGGTGGGTGTTTTTATTAGAAGGTTTTAAACAAACTTACCCAAAAAGCAAAGCCGTGGCTGCAGCAAAGGGCCAGGCCTGGAGACCCTGAGACCCTCAGCACCACTCTTGCCACCTGAATATCACAGAAGGCCCCGGAACAGGCAGCAAAAGGACTAGGGTGCCCTCCCTGCCTCTGTCTCCTTCCCTCTGCCCTAACGGGAGCCATGTGTCAAAAGGAACTGGCAGCTCTGGGGCCTGGTGGCCTTGGTAGAAAGCCAGACTGGTCCACCGTTTCCACGGGCTTTCCAATTCTCCCAGGACTCTCTGTGGGTGTCAGAAAGGCTGATCCGGCTTTGCAGGAATGTGGGGATGTGAGAGTTGACCTGGTAGGCTTAAGAATGTGGCATTTAGAAAAGACTGCTTCCCCATGGGCTGGAATGTAATGGTGATATTATCCTCTCTGACGTTGTTGTCAGAGATGGATGGCAGACCTACCTGATCCCCATTCCTACCTTCTTATCACGCCACCTACATGTTTGTGTGAAATTGACCTTCCAGCCTGGATGATGAGGAGACAGCCTTCTGGGGCTGACAGAAACCTCTTACAGGCTCCTTCTGTTATCGGCTGGGTTGTGTCCCTCCCCAAGTCCATATGTTGAAATCTTATTCTGAGTACCTCAGAATGTGACTTTATTTGGAAATAGGATCTTTAAAGAGGTAATTAAATTAAGATGGAATCATTAGGGTGGGCCCTCATCCAATATGGCTGGTGTTTTTAATAAGAAGAGTAAATTTGGAAACAGACACATACAGAACAAAGACAATGTGAAGATGCAGGGAAAAGACGGCCATCAATCAGCCAAGGAGAGAGGTCTCAGAGGAAACCAACCCTGCCAACACCTTGATCTTGGACTTCCAGCCTCCAGAACCATGAGAAAATAAGTTTCTGTTGTTTAAGCCACCCAGTCTATAATACATTGCTACGATAGCAGGAACAAAGTAATCTGCCTTCTCAGCCTTACTTCTCCCCGGGCCTGAGCCCATCCTGATTCCATCCGAGTAGCAGACTAACGAGGTTCTGTTCCTGTCTGCTCCAGGCCGATTCCAGTCATGGCTTCCCTTCTTGCTCTTGCCTGGCAGGATTTCGCCCTGCTCTCCCTTGTTATTCTCCTGTCTGCATTTCCCAAGCTCCGCCTTCCTGTATTCTGCTTCTCCTGCCTTCACTTCTGCTTTCAGCCCCAACCTCAGAAAGCAGCCCACCTCGCCACAAGACCGACGGCGCTTCCTGCCCCTGGCCTGTGTCCAACAGGACACAGGGTGCTGTACACTCGCTGGGGTCCGAGACGGTGGGAGGAAGGTTGAAGCCTTTTAGAAGACGGCAAGAGACGCAGGCCCTTCTCCTTTCTCTCGCCCACTACCCTCTCCGGGAACTCCCCAGAGGCTGATAAATATTATTATGGTCCAAAACAGAAGGTGCAATTTGGCTCTGTTCTCGGATGTCACTCCTGTGGGTTAGGGAAACAGATGGACGGCTGTCCAACTTGAGCGCCAGACTCATTCAGAGTGTTCTTTATGTGCTCTAAAACCTGGCACAAGTCACCTTTACTAATCCCCGCCCTGAGAGCAACGACACCGAAGGGCTGTTTGGGGTAGTGGCCATGTGCTGGGATGATGGACAAACAGCTCCTCTGTGCAGGAAGCAGGTTTGCAGGTCTGCTCTTTGCACGAGGACGCTGTTGGTATTTTATGTCTCAATTAGGATGACTTGGGGGGAATTGTTTGCAGAAGTGGAAAACTCTCACTTCTTCCGACTAAGAAGCTACGATATCATCCCCTGGCTGAGCTCTTTGGCTCCTTTTTCATAATAAAACAAAACAAAACATAACACCTTTCACTCACCTTGTTGCCCTTTCAAAGACAGTGGATGTTGGGAGGCTGAGGCTCAGATGGGACTGCAGGCTGAATCTCAAAATCTCCAGGCGGTTTAATTTAGATAATAAAGACAAAAAGTTTGGACTCACCACCGTGCACATCTCATCCGAAGAGGTGATGACTTTACAGCTGGCAGAAAACAGCACCACAAACAGGAAGCAGCTGACAGGGGGAGCCATCACAGGACCGATGCCACCCCAGCTTGGGGGGCTTATCTAATGCCTGGAGCTGAGAAGTCGAATCAAGCTATGATGGTCTCAGAAATTCAGCAGCCAGAGAGGTGTTCAGAAGGGTGATCTCAGGACAAGAAATGCTCTTGACTGCTCAGCATTTGATGGCTCTGTGCTGCAAAAAAGGGAAGTCCCTTTGCATACCACCCATCCTTGCCAAAAATAGCTGAGGACCCAGCCCACGGGTGGCCCAGTGAGTTTCCTGGCAAACACAAGTGAGTTGTGCAGCCCTCTTTGGCTGGTCACACAGACTGTCAGTGTAATGGTTCGTGTGGACTCTAGGCTAGCTTCAAGGGTTTGGCCAACTCCAGCAGCTTCTGGTCCCTTTGCTCGAGAGAGACTGTGCAAGTAGGAAGCTGTTCTCACAGGGAATGCCACTTAGTTAGTTGTCCTAGGCGGGTAACTGGGAGGGGTGCTGGGGCATGCTGCAAAGGCAGAGTACTCTGTGGGGGCAGACATAAGGACTGAGCCCAGCAATTGTGCCTGCTGGAGCTGGGAACTGGAGCAAGAGGAAACAGCGTGATCCTAGAAAAGGAGTATAGCTGCTGCTCGCAATTCTGCTTCGGCCTTGGCCACCTCATCAGCACCCACCTCTAGTCTTGGTACAGGAAGAGGACAAATCCATCCCTCCACCTTGTGATTCAGGCCTGCTAAAGCAGCTGGGGTGGAATCCCCTCTGTTCCCTCTCAGTCTAACTCAGGGAAGTAGAGGACACTGCTATATTCAGAGCAGCCTGGCTAGGAGAGAGCAGAGTTAAGGGTGTCAGCCTTGGCTCTATTTCTTCTTAGAAATAGCTTTGAAGCAGCATTGCAATTACTCTCATTATGGTGCAAGATGTGGTAGTGATTACAGACAGTGAAAGTGAAAGCATTCCTCGCCAGGCTGAATTTAGCTACCTCAAACATCATCTACTCTCCAACCTTCTGGCATATAGGAGATGCTCAGCATTACTGTTCTCCAATTCCATTCCCAAGAGCTCGATTATTAGCATCAGGGTCACAGTAATTTGAAATATTACTACTACTACTACTAACACAATAATTATAGTAGCTACCATTTATTGAGCACTTACTATGTTAGACACTGGGCAGGTTGGGTTTTTTTTCTTGTATATCTCCTCACATATTCTATCAATGTGGTGCTATTATTAATCTCATTTTATAGATGTAGAAACTGATGTTTAGAGAAAGGAACTGACCTCTCCAAGTCCACACAACTAGAAAGTGGTGGGTTAGAGTTTCAGATCGAGGAAGGCTCACTGCAGAGACTGTGCTATTACTCTCCATAGTTTAAGAAAAAAA